TTGGGGGTCAAATGATTTCAGAGGACCCGAAATTCCCCTGTAGAGTACACAGAAAAGAGGAAAACCAGCATGTAGTGATGCTCTTTTATTTTTGTTATATATTACTTATTATTTTATTTATTTTAAGATTTTTTTTAATTTAGGAATTTTAACTAACTAAAAGCTAACAGCAACAAAACACAAAAAAGCAGGCAAGAATATCCTGGTTTTATTAAAACTAAAAATTAACATATTGCAAAGACTCTTGTTAGTAAGGTTCTCCATCACTACATGACTAGAGAGGCTGCAAAGTGCTTGGTGTCACTGTCAGCAGAGAAAGGTAGGATGGAGCAACTTCCAAAAGTCGTGGTGCTGCATTCCCTCCATCCCAGCTGTGAGCTCCTGTCAGCCCCTTTGTGTCTGAGCAGTTGGCAGTCTCATTGCTACATAACTGGTCCTGCAGACTCAACAGGGCAGCACAGTTTTAGGCCAGCTTAAGTAGATTGCTAAACTGCACCTTAAAAATGTCAGCTGCATAGAGGGGTAATTTTAAATCCATTTGTGAGTACCTCAGACGCTGCATATGAAGCAAATGGGATTATTTGTACTTTGGTAGCATTTTAATCAAACAGTCTTTGGTGGAAGTTTTGTGTACAATGATGGGATCTCAGGAAGATTCTCAGCAGTTGGTCAGAACAGCATAGGGCCAAGTTCTTAGGGTTTCAAATTCGTTGGAGTAACTTTTGTGCAAGTCTACACCGGAACATGTTTTTCACCATGAAAACTCATCACCAAGCAACCTGTCCCTTGTTGCCATATTAAGTACAATATGTTGGCAAATTAATCGTAACATAAAACCAAAAGAGTAGAAGAGGAAGGATTCTCTCTTTTCCTTGACCCAGTGTCTTGCAATATAAGAAATTCTTGACATTAAACTCTCCACCCCCAAAGAACACCCAGAAAAACAAACCACCAAGAAAACCTAACACTAAGTTCACCAAGCATTAAGTTTGAACCAGGATATGATACATTCAATGGATTTGAACCAGAGAAGGACTTAATATCAGAATCTTGTGAGGTAGATAAGCTTTATATAATATTGGTGTAAAGAAGGTTTTACCCTTGGACTGCAGGTAAAGGTTACACATGAAGAGCAAATGCATGGAGGCATACCTGTCCTTTGATTTTAGTATCGAAGTAACAAATTTTTCTAACAAATCCTGTTTATTCTTTTTAGCTGAGGTATTTCAACTGTAGTTTTGTGATCCTAATGTAAACTCCCTGTTGTAATTTCAATGAGGTGCATGCTTTTCTAATGTCTTCATAAGGCTTGTATTTGGCCCTGAATCCCAGTACCCAGTCACTGGTGACCTTTCACCAGCATTTATTAATACAGTATTCTTACTTGCTAGCAACCATAAATTAGAATTAGCTTAAAGATTTTTAAATATATTGTCTAGCCCATGAGGAATAGATATAAAAAATGTTCTTACTGGACAAGCAGAACCTACAGAGGCAGCAATTAAATCATAAGACTGGAAATAAAAACTCTTGTGATCTACACCATTGTCTCCAAATTGTATGATTAAGGAGATACTAAATTATACATTATAGGGGAAGAGTACAACTACAAATCTTAACTAAGCATATTTTTTGTAGTTCTATTCATTATACTAATGTACAGGCTTATATTTAGAAGCTTTAGGAGCATTAGAAAACAGGAAAGCTACAGATTACAACCCATATGGGTATGCTCAGGTTGGCAGCAGTGATTAATAGTATCTCCTGGGTTTGCCTTTTGTAACCAAACAATATTTAAGACATATTAAGATGATTTACATCACAAGGAATTCAAACACTGTACTTACTTTAACAAAGCCTACTGCATTAAAAGGAATGTCGAATGGACCAACATGTATTAGTTCAGTCATTATCACAGGGAAACAGGCAAAGTCTCAGGTTAAAATGGAATATCTCAGTTTGCAGCACAGCACCCTGAATTGAAATTATACTTAACCCATTCTACCTAAATATCCTAAGTAATTTCCTGTCAATAAAGACCGCATTCATCCAGGTCAGTGGGACATCTTAGTTTGCACAGTCCTATTAGATTTAATAAAGTGACTCTGAAGTACCACTTAATGGAAAAGTGTAGTTCTGCAAGAATTGTGACATTAATGAGGGCTCCTTGGATAGGAGTGATCTACCACTGTTGTCATATCTGATTGCCTATTCCCGTCCCCTCCTTTTCCAAGGATGATACAGGTGTGATGAATCAGGTAAGGGAACTGATTTTGCAAAAATCTTACCTGACAAAATGAATGTTAGTTTCCAACTAGATAATTTCCTTCAGCTTAGTTCACCTGGCATAAGGCAATAATATATATATGGAGGTAGGGAGTAGTAAACAACACTTTTAAGTTGTTCTAAGACTATTTTAAGGTAAACAAACTTTTTAAACCTGGTTGAATCGTTCCATGCCTAATTCCGATGTTTTGCTCTACAGTAGGAGAGGTCATGAATGCCAACTGTATTTAATCATCCTAGTAGACCTGAACAATTTGATGTCAAGCATGTAAAAATGTTGAAAGTATAGTCTATCAAGCCTTTCAAGTAAGAGCTCACTATTGCAAATATTTTTCAATGTTATTGTAAAAAATACATTCTGAAGCACTTGGAGTTACCAGTCAGTTTTAACATTTGCTATGCTAAATGTTAAGGAGCTTGCCACTGGGCTTCTTTTACTCATGTAAGGAAAATGGTGCAGAAATATTAATGTCATAATATACCAGTAAGCTGTAATTGGCTTCTGGTGGATTATAGACAACACAGCAACTCTCTTAAACTAGAATACAGAATTTGTATTAAATCCCTTTGTATCTCACCTGGATCATTCAAACGATAAATATTTAGAAGTTTCCACTTTTATTACATTTTTTTCTGCTTATGTATTTTGGCCTGTAGGTTTCTATTTTAAAGTATTGTCTCCATCTGTACTCTGTTATTCGGAGTACCTTTGTTGTTATTTTTTTTTTTAACTTGTAAATGGTTCCAGAGAGACCGATTATGTCTACATAACACTGTGTAGCTCTTCACACAGGTACCCCAGTTAGTTGTAACAAGCTTAGCTAACTGGAATAGATAACATGCTCTATTAATGAAGCTGTTCCTTCTGGGATCTAAGCTGATACATTAAAAATTAGCCTGAATATTACTTCAGGGCAGTGGATGGTTCTTAGCTGACCCATGTTAAAGAGAAGAATCTTTTTAAATTTTGGAGGATAAAGATAAGATGCAAGTTAATCAGTCTGCAGATTAACCACTGTGACACAGAGAGGTCACACTGCAGGGTTTATATATTAACTGCAAGAGTTATGAAATGATCAAATAGCTGAAACCTGAAGCTCAAAATTTAATGATTTATAAGTTGTACATTATTAACAGTGTTTGTAATTAAAACTGGAAGAGCTTTTCAAAGAATATGATGGATTGTCTGTAATTTGAAGTCTTTAATTAAGACCAAAGGTACCTCTGAAAAGATATTGTCAAATTTGATAATAAAAGAACTATCAGGAGAAATTCAAGGGTCTTAAACTTTATGAATTTTTCATCACATCAGACTTTCTTTTATGGCATTCATTCATCTAGAAGAGTGGAAAAATACAGTGGACATTTATAAAGGTCATATAAATATGGTTTCTTATAATGGCAGTTGAATTACTTTCTGTTCTGCCAACATAACTGGTTTTGGAAACAACTTGAGACCTCTCAGAAGCATAGACAAAAATTAATTTTGCTATTCTAAGCAGGGGGGGAAAGTCTGCAAGTAAAAGAAGACATAGGGAGAAGAAGTAGGGCTGAAATGGGATGACAGAATTTCATGTAACGCTTACTGCCGCTTTTCTCCTGCCCTGGTTCCACAAAGCAGTAACTCCTAGCCCATACAACCTGATCTTTCTTGAAGTATTAGCCAATCAAAGTGTCTTTCCAGACATATAGCATAGCTACAGGAAGATAGTTAAACTATGGATGTTTTCCTGTCCATTCCAGTTTACTGTCTAGGCAACTGCCTCTACTGCCAATGCCTGGAGTTGGCCCTAACTACACTAGTGATTCATTTATCTGTTTCAGGCTCATTCAGAATCCTGCCTTAGTAACCATTACAAGGGTATCTATAATAATCTGCAGTACAACTTTTAAATCAACAGTTCATATATTGCATAAAGACTTTGTTTTGTTTATGAGGCTTTATGAAGTTAGGAACATCTATACAGAGGTGTTGTATGTCAACTGACAAATATGTTTTTTCCTATGCTCCTATACAAACAATAGATATCCTTGGCTCACGCGAACAGCATTATTTTGACTCACAGGAATGAAGTATTCACAGAAAGATAAATGCACTCAAATGTACTTTCTAAATAGCACTACTGAAAAGCAGTAAATGTAAGAACAAAAAATATTCATCAATTTAACATGAGATGCTTGCCATCATAAATGGTTCAGAGAACACTTCATCAGTTAGCATATTTCTAGCATTTTTCATTTCCAGAAGACATGGCAATTGATGGATCTCTTTTCTATCTAATTGTCAACAAACATGGAGCCTTCAGTTTCAAATATTTTTCCCCTTTGCTTTTCTAACACCCAAAAATGAATCTGTCTCCATCTCCAGATCCTTTCTAATACATTTACAATCACAAGAGCAGCAAGCAAACAAATACACAGACAAAGCCAGTCAAAAACCAAGATGAGTTTAATTGCCTGTGCTGAACTATGCCTGTCCCACAAACACAGGATTACCTTTGGCAGCCAGGAAGGCAGGAAAGTATCCCTAATAAGCTCTGTAGCCTTCCTTCTTGCTCTCAAATCCACATGGTTTTGCAGTATGCCCAGAAAACTATCCAAGTTTCAGCTAGTACAGCTCAGAGCTCATTAGACTTGTGACAGATATGCACTGCTGCTGCCTAGAGTTGCAAAGAAATTACTGACAATTGTTCAGAATTTTCCTGACACTTCTCTGTAAAATTAAATGATTTATTGATATCACTGATTGATGGGATCAAAACATTCAAGGTGACACATGAAATCTTTTGAAACTGTGGCAATAACTGAGCAAATTTCTAGTCATTCGTATCTCTATAGTCCTCATCCCCTTGGCAGTTCACTTGTCAGGAGCAAGGTGTCCAACCTTCTCTTAACCGCTGATTCCTTTGCAACCTAATGAATAAGAAAATAAGGAATTTCAGTCTGCTGCTAAATTAGCATGAGTGTTTTGAATATAGTAGAAAATAGCACAAACCTGTTCAAGCAGTTTTTCTATCTTTGTTCTACTACAGAATAAACCTTTTCTTCAGGCTTCAACACATTAGGTTGCCTGGGAACATCAAAGAGGACAAATTAAATAAAAAGATGTATTATCTCCATAATTAGAACACCTATTATTACGAATATTAAAAATCAAAAGACTTGCCTTCAAAATATAAAGCATTGAAACACAGTGAGAGAAAAAGCTTAAAGTATCAGCAGTTACATATTTAATTATGTCAAACGTTATACAATTTAAATATTTCAAAGCAAATTCAGCTTTTGTTTTAAACTGGAAAAGTTTCCTCAAATGGCGGTGTTTTAAAATTTCCTTCTGTGTCTGAAGGCCTGCCCTAAAAAAAACCCCAAAAACAAATAGGAGGGGTGCTGAGAGGTATGTTTCCTAAGTCTTCTATCTTAGAATATGTTAAACAGTATACAATAAGAACCTCTTTTTCTCCAGGCTATGGAAGAAGTCTGAATAACCAGTTCAGATACAGGTTACTGGTTTAGATATGTGGGTGTAGATGGAGATGAATCCAATGTCTGGTGTCCAGTCCAGCATTATCTGAAGTCAAGAAGAATCTGTTGTCTACTTTTCAGACATTAAATTAACCCCTTGGTCATGAACAGTAAAGCAAATCTTGTGATATTATACTTTTAGGTGTACAACATCCTTTGAGAAAAACTGTGTAAAAGACACGAGCTAGTCCATAGCAGTGGGGATTATGTAGCATCAGATTATGTAGCATCATTTGGTGAAACAATGCAGTACATCAGTCATACACTGTGCAATATTTTAAAGGTTTTCTCAACATGCTGCAGCAAATTTATTTTAAAAATGGAACATTAAAAGAAATATCCTGCTATGAAAGTAGCTTGTTTTCATCCTAACAATGACATGAGACTGCAGTCAAAAGAGCAAATATGGTATGAGGTAATGTATGACTATCATCGTCATTATTTTCAAACAGAGCTTTATTTGGGACTGTGAGATTTGCTATGTCCCCTTCAGTGACAGCTCTATAAACACATATGGGGAAGAGGCAGGAAGAGGAGGAGGGAAAAATGTTGGAATTTATGTACAAACAAAGATTTATGCAGTTAAATTTGTCAGTTGAATGCTTTAAATATAGGACACTTTTGTTCACAAAAGTGTAGGTGGCAAATCTGCATTAACTGTGGATTTTGTTTGACTCAAATTGAGGACCAAGGGTAAATCCTAGTTCTATCAGCATAAGTGAAAAAACCCAACCAACCAACCAACCAAACCCCAACAAAACCCCAGCTTTCTTCATAAGTGGGTTTCTCTTAGGATTGCTTTTCAAGTTGAGTGACACTGAGTGAAGGAAAAGTGAGTTAGTCTACTCTTCTAAAACAAGAAGCATCTGAACCACAAATACTCAACAAAATATTGTTATTAATTATACTGTCTTTTCCAATCGGCTCTCTGAAGAGCACTTTTACATTTGTTATTCTAAAATCCAACCAAAGGGCAAAAGCAGACAGTTTGCTATAATGTGCTAAAGGTGAATTTCAATGGCTTTCCTGAAGAGGAGCTTGTTTCCACTTGTGATATCCACTTAGGTGGAGACCTTGGTATCACAGGAACTTTGTCTTAGTAAGCATTTACTAACTATACTGCAGTTTTATAGTGGACTTTGAAGCTTACTAATTTAACACAGTGATTAATCAAATTCAGTCTGTTACTGAAATGATGAGTGAATTTCCAGAGGGTTTGTACTATGTGGAAATAAGGGCACAAAGCCAAGTTCCTTTCTTCCTGAAGAGGGATACGGTTGAGAGATAGCCTTTCTTTAGCCTTCATAGCAAATCCACCAACAGATATTGAAGAAATCGTCAGAAATTTTATAATTATTTTTGCACACCATTGTTTTCTTCCATTACAATCAAAATAATGAAAGATATGTCTAAATATGTACATCAGATTTAGAATTTGTTATGTCTATTTTTTCCCCCTACATTTTACTTTAGAACTAAATGTGCCCTGCTGTTCCAAAATGACTTTTGAAGTATCCCAGATAAAGTATGTTCATACAACAACATAAAGAGATTATAATAATCATTTTCAAGAAAACAAAGTCAACAATAAAAGAGTGGTCACTGTAAATATATGTATTTAAATTAACTCACCAAAGTATAAACTACTACAAACAGATTTCATACTTTTTCCTGCCATGTGATTTCTCTGTCAGACTAATTACTCTATTGCTTCCTTAGAAATTTCCCAATTTAGTTTGCACATTTGGTAATAGAGAGAAGGTACCTCAGAGCTGTCAGTTTAAAGGTTAGGATCTACATTCAAGACCAAAACAATGGCATTAAAAAGCATAAGGAAAAAGGTATGAGATTCTGACAAAATGTTCCATCTTAAAATTAATGTATTTTAAGGTTTCCTCTTGCATGGATAGTTTTTTCTTTTCCTTCCCCCCATTCCCCTCCCACCCCCCACACTAGAGAGAAAAAAATGCAGTGGCATAGTGTGAAGATAAAGTAGTTTTTATTCCAATTTCATAGCTCTTACCTAACCTTCTTGTCTTCTGTTTCTCAGGAGTCCTATTTTCCAACATCATAACATCTGCTTTTTGTTTCTTGACCTTGCACTTTCCCTCCAGGCTATTCACTTATTTCCATTCCACTTCCTCCTCCTCACCAGGACATCGGCAGGGGGAAGTGCAGGTTAAGCAGAAGACAGAAACTCTGTGTATATAGTCTTGATTTTCACTTGGCATTCCAGACAAACTTCTGTCTTCCCTCCTCCTCCTACAGAAGCCAAATGCTATGTAGTTTCAACTCAATATGTGAAAAAAGCATTTTTTAATAGTTGTTCTTTTGCTCTTGTTTTTCCCCTGACCCCTCTAGGCTTGGTCCAACCTTTTAATTCCCATATGAAGTGACACACTCTTGATACTAGACAGAGAGCACCATCTCAGCCCTGATGAATTCCTTCTCGTTGCTCAAAAGAAACAAAATGCTAGAGTTTTGTAATGGACTTTTTAGCATATTTTTTTTTTAAGAAAATATGATATTTTAGCTTAAAAGTCACCCCAAATACTCAGCCTGAGGCAGACACCTCACATAGACACCTTTCAGTGCTGTGGTTTAATTTCAGTGATTATGAAAAAAATGCAGATAGAGTTTTATAGAGACTGTAACCTCACAACAATTAAATACAATGGAGATGTAACTATATTAGTTTAATGAATTAATTTCAACTTTTGTCCACTATCATTTTTCCACAGATTAAATTGCATGTTAGTTTAGGGTCCTCCAGCTTCAATAGCTGTTGGGATAAAGCTGGGACCTAATTAATTTTTGCTTGATATGTTTTGCTTTTTAAAATGTGGTTTCAATACAATAAAAACTTCTCAGTTGTCTACAGAGAAAATACAAATTTACAGGAAAGTCAATACAAGAAACTCATTTTCTTTCACAGGAAAAGGAAAAAAAACCCGAAAACTAAAAGAGAACAAAGTTCTCCCAGCTAGTTATAGATCAGGTTTTTCTCATTTAAGGGTGATTCCTTTCTACCTGACAACTTCTAATAGTAGAATAAATGTAATTTATTTCAGCTTGTTTTGAAGGGTATAGATGTTAGTGACAATAATATATGTTCTGTTGTACTTGTTTTGCATTATCAAGTTCCTATCTAATTTTTGCTCCTGTATTTGCAAATAAAAGGAATGTATTTAAAAATTATTTAGTAAACAGGGATAATAAGGCAGGAAATTGCATGATAAATCAGATAAAGACAAAAGTAAACATTTAATTAACTTTCTTCCTTCTCTTCCTTTAACCTTGCGGGATATTTTGTCCCTTGCTCCAAGGTAAACACATATCTGACAAAACAACGCTTTCAGAATTTCTGTTTAAATTTTTATTCCTAGATGAAAGGAAGATTATAAGCATAAATTAAACTGTCAATCAATGCTTTTTATGAAAAAAGTTTATTTCTAATAATTTGGGAACTGCTTGGAAGACCTTTTCTGGTTACGAAGAAAATAATTCAAAGCTGAGAATTTATGTCTCAATCTGTGGTTGATTGATTGGTTGATAAATTAATTTTTAAACAAGAAAGGGGAAGCTTTGACTTAGTACTTACTAGTGATTAAAATTGGTATAGTCTATATCAAAATATTGCATCATATTTATATTTAAATATGCGTATTTATAATTTGAGAGGCAGATGGATGCTCAAAATACAATCCAGTTATTCTTCTGAAAACTATGAGAATACCTAGACATAAATAGGAAAAAAACCCACTTTTAAAATGCTAGCAATTTTTTACTTTATTCCTTAAGAAACATAAATATTGGTTTAATAGTCATCTAGAAATGAAGTGTCTTTGGCCATCCATTGAGTAATACAACTTAATTGTTATGAGTCAGATGTAAACATAAAATTTTTAAAATCTTGCTAATAGTGGAATCAGGAACTCTCTAATTCAAGATGAATTTCTACAACTCTTTATCAGCTTTTGAAATTGCAAGACCATGTTTATGTTCCAAACAAATTTAAATGACCACTGGCACTACATCATGTTGGCAATGCTGATAGGAAATTGATGGTTTTGACAGTTCTTTTTGACTGGGTATCTCAGTTTCCTTAAGAACTTTGGAAAGTGAGCCTTGCTCCTGCTATTACCATTGCTGAAGCAAATGTCCTCGCATGTCAGGAGTACTCACTGTATGTACTCAGGCAACCAAACCAGTAGGACCACTCCCCACTCATATGACAACCACTGGCAATATTCATTCCAGCATCCTTAGAAATCCATTCCCAAATGGCTACAGGAAAAGGAAGCCTGGGTCTCCAAGGATCTTTTCCCAGATCAATCATCCCAGCTTTGCCCTTTTCCTCTGTCCTTTAGCTTCCCTGTGGCAGAAGCAGCAAAATTCAATTTTGTCTGCCCTGCTGAGAATTCATAGTCTGCTATGTCTGAGTGCTAAACACATTCATGAAGAATAGCACCAAAGTATTGAACCAGTGCATAATGAGTCTTTCTAATCATACCCTTGCCCTTCATTTCCAATAGTCAACAGCTCTCAGAAGTGTGAAGTGTACAAACACAATTAAGAGCTTTCCATAAGTTATT